CACCCATTTCGAGACATAATCGACAGCAAGCAAAATATATTGAAAACCGAAAGAAGAGGGGAAGGGACCCATAAAATCCATACCCCAAACGTCGAAGATTTCACATATTAAGATAGGAGTTTGGGGAATTTCATTCCTAGGACCTAGTGTACCTGTTCTTTGACAACTATCACATGCCTTACAGATTTCATATGCATCTTTAAATATGGATGGCCAGTAGAATCCACTCTCTAAAACCTTGCGTGCGGTTCTCTTTGGTCCAAAATGTCCCCCACATGCATAAGAATGGCAGAAAGTTAGTATAGACAGAATTTCAGAATCGGGTACGCACCTTCTGATTAGTTGATCAGCACAGTATTTCCAGAGGTATGGGTCATCCCATATGTAGTATTTTGCTATACTACGCATCCGGTCCTTTTGTGCCTTGGTGTAGCTGGCTGGAAACTTCCCAAATGCTAGAAAATTCACCAAATCAGCATACCACGGAGTTCCTGAGTTCAAGGCATGAAGTTGCTCATCGGGGAACTCTTCATTGATTGGGGCGTGACCTTCATCAGCTTCAATAACTAACCTGCTCAAGTGATCAGCAACACTATTGTTAGAACCTTTTTTATCTTTTATTTCAACATTAAATTGTTGAAGCAATAAAATCCAACGTATTAGCCTAGGTTTGGATACATCCTTTGACCATAAATATTTCAGCGCTGCATGATCAGTAAACACAATAATTTTAGTACCCAATAAATAAGACCTGAATTTGTCTAAAGCATAAACTACAGCTAAAAGTTCTTTCTCAGTTGTAGTATAATTAGCTTGAGCTGCATCCAAAGTCCTTGAGGCATAGTAGATGGCATGGGGAACTTTTCCAACTCGCTGGCCTAGCACTGCTCCTACAGCATAATTAGAAGCGTCGCACATCAACTCGAATGGGAGCTCCCAGTTAGGAGGTTGTAGAATATGGGCAGTGACCAACTTGTCTTTCAGCTTGTCAAATGCCTGCTTACAGGCCTCATCAAAATGGAACTCCACATCTTTTTGGAGTAGTCTGCATAGTGGTTGCGCAATCTTTGAAAATCCTTCAATAAACCTGCGATAGAACCCTGCATGGCCAAGAAAAGATCGAACTTCCCACACAGAGGCGGGGTAAGGTAGAGAAGAAATAAGATCTATTTTAGCTTTATCAACTTTTATTCCTTCAGACGACACAATATGGCCTAAAACTATACCTTGTTGAACCATGAAATGACATTTTTCAGAATTAAGCACAAGGTTAGTTTCAAGACAACGTTTAAGGACCAAAGTGAGGTGTTCTAAGCATCTATCAAAAGAATCTCCATGTACAGTGAAATCATCCATGAAAACTTCTATGAAATTTTCAAGGTAATCTGAAAAGATGTTTACCATACATCTCTGAAAAGTCGCTGGAGCATTGCACAGTCCAAATGGCATACGACGATACGCAAACATGTCGTACGGGCATGTGAACGTCGTTTTTTCTTGATCCTCTGGAGTTATAGGGACCTGCACATAACCTGAAAAACCGTCAAGAAAACAGTAATAAGCATGACCAGTAAGACGTTCTACCATTTGATCAATAAATGGTAAGGGAAAATGATCTTTTCGAGTCAAAGAATTGAAACCTCAACCTCATCCGGGTGGAGTGGCTCCTGGATTGAAAAGTGGTTAAATCCGGGGGACACTTCCTCGGCCCCGGGCGATGGTCAACAACCGCAGGGTGAGGTGGATCAACCAGCCGAGGTCATGGGGCCGGAAGCCCCTGATCCGATGTGGTTGAAAAACCACATTGTGAAGGTTTTCTTTCAAATCAAAGGAAGGAAACCCCGGGAGGATGTGCTTCAGAAACTTTTTTACGATCTTAGGCTGGAAACGGCTTCCCCGGTCGCCCTACGCGACTGGCGTCAACTTCAAAGTGGATTTGTTGTGCGAAGAGTGCGTTATGACCCGTGGCCGCCTGCCCGGTGGGGGCGGCTCCTCCGTTGTGGGTAAACGGGAAACCCATAACTTTCACTTTCTGGACCAACGCGGATCTGCGCGGTTCGGGGGGCACTTGAGTCAGCCGCCGGCGCCCGACTGCGTCTTGACCCCTATTCTCCAGAAAAGACTTTGAGTTTTCTAAATTTCTCTGGGTTCTTAATGTTTTCTTAAGCTCATTTATCGAAGCTAAGTCATTCATTACTAGAGAAAGCAATGTCATCCACATAAACCAGAAGAAGGGAGCCTCTGGCTTCGACCTCCTTATAAACATTGAACGATCCGATTGACTTCTTTGAAAACCGGCCCCTTCCTCTACTCCTATTTTTGCTTTTATACATGCTGAAGTACCTTTAAAACCAAGCTCTTGGTGCCTGCTTTAGCTTGTCGGAGGTCGTAACGTAAATCGCTTTCTTGAGCTTGCATACTAAGTGAAGATTCCTAGGAGAAGAGAAGCCAGTGATTCAACTCAAGCACGAACCGCTACCTCCTCTTCTCCGAGTTCAGCAGAAAAAAAGGAAAACTCGTTAGCTCATAACAGCGCATTCGTTCACTCAAACGGCGCATTTGTGAGCTCCAAGTCCAAAAGCCTATCCGGTATGAGAAGTTAAGGGTTAATTTCTCTTCTTTAGCGAGTAGAAGAAAAAACTGCAAAATCCGATCCAATTTATCGTAATCGATTAGTTAACATGTTGGTTAACCGTATTCTAAAACACGGAAAAAAATCATTGGCTTATCAAATTCTCTATCGAGCCGTGAAAAAGATTCAACAAAAGACAGAAACAAATCCACTATCTGTTTTACGTCAAGCAATACGTGGAGTAACTCGCGAGCTGGTTAGATGCGTGGGGCAGAGGGCTCGTAGTACCCCCTTTTCCTTTTCTTCGCTTCGGTAGTGGCAAGTTGTACTTGCGAGCGCGTGCGTGTAGGAAGGCCGACCACTACATAAGCTAAAAGACTACGATTCCTCTTCTTCTTCACCGGTAGCGCTTTCAAAGAGGGGGAGGCCGCGCAACAGCGGAGCCCCCCCGCCTTACCAACGAGCCGACAGCTGATGGCTGTTGGTTAGAGAAAGAGGGGTGCCTTCTAGCCCTTTGCCCGTTGAATGAACCTTTTCGTGGTGAATGAATAGTCGTGCTATCCAGGAATGGAATTGATGGTCGAGCCGGATGATAGTCTATCTTGGTTCAAGGCAGATTTTCGTTTGAATGCCTCTATCTATTTTCGCTCTCCTTGCCATTTGACAGGCCTTAGTCAGCCCCTGTCTTCGGCTCTGAGAGAACTTGACCTATAGCTAACCTAGAGAGCTTTCCTTTAGCTCGGGCAGGCACTCGTCCAAATTTTTTCGCTAGAGCTCATCACTGAAGAATGGTGGCTTGACTTTTTGGAATTAGAGAATAACTTCTTCGCGCGGGCAGCGTACGTACAAGGCTGTTCGGACCCCTTCCCTCTTGTATGAGGCGCGTTGCCATCGTCTCTTTCTCCTTTTTCCGTTGCAGGTATCTAAACATCTATTAGTTAAGGGGGTTGGGGCGCGAAGCGCAAACCGTTTTTTAATCAAATTATGATATGATTTGGTCGTTCGGCCGTGCTGCGGCCACTAGATCATAAGACCTTAGGTGCACCTGAGCACGATAGCGTCATAAAACGGGGTTAACTACCCCGGGGGTGGACGTTATTGCGAACCACCTGATTACCAGTAAAAAAAAACATTCTATTGACTTAATATATTTCTCTACCAGGGGTCTTCGAGCCTGCTGCGTACGATTAGCGAGCCTTGCGACGGCAAAAGGATTAGACGTCCTCCCATGCTACGGGAGGCCCACTATGCCAAAAGCGAGGGAAACCCCATCCCTCTCTTTCCTTTTTACGTCCCCGTGTCCCCCCGTGTGGCGACATGGAGGCAAAAAAGGGGATACCTGGCCTCTCCCGGTTCTTCCACCGTCCGGGTTCCCCCCTATGCTATGCTCCCTCGGCGCGGCCTACCGCGCTTCGCGCCTGCGGCGTTTTCGCCAGACAAAAACTCACGTTCTGGGGTCGAGGTAAGCCGCATTCGTAGTCTCTCATTCCTTCTTCTCCCTTCGATACTTATTTTAGATGGAGCCACACGAGGACCAGAAGACTCTAACGCTCTAGAAAGCCAAAGCCCTTACGGCTTGAATTCCTTTCTCTGTAATCTACACAAACTCTCCACCCATTTTGTACTCTGGTGGGAACCATTTCTCCCTTATCGTTTTCCACCACTGTGACTCCTGACTTTTTTGGGACTACTTGTAAGGGACTGACCCAAGGGCTATCTGATATAGGGTATATCACCCCTACTTCAAGAAGCTTCATTACTTCTTTCTTCACACTTCCATCATAGGTGGATTAAGTCGTCGCTGCACTTGTCTCACGGGTTTAGCTCCCTCTTCTAATAAGATTCTATGCTGACACATAGAGGGGCTAATTCCTTTTAAATCAGCAACTGTCCACCCTAGAGCTGTTTTATGTTCCTTCAGAACTTGCACCAGATTTTGCTCTTGATTCGAAGTTAGATTACTCGCGATTATGACTGTCAAAGTGTCATTTTCTCCCAAAAATGCATACTTGAGATGGTCTGGTTCTTGGATTATTTACAAGTGGTATTCAGGCTCTTATTTTTGCAACTTTAGCCGCAGTGGCTTTAGTTCCACTTCAGGGGCCTGTACAATAGAAGGTAACAATCTGTTAGAAGTGACAGGTAACTGCATAAACCGTTTTTCATACCTTAATTGCTTATCAGGAAGTATTTCCAGAGAGGAAAAAGCTTCCTTAACTTCCCCCTTAAGCTCAAAATGTTCCTGCAAGTCAGTATACTTTTCTTTTTCCATAGGCGCAGTCAAAACAACATCTAACCCATCATGACCAGAGAGAAAGAATACCTGCTCAGTTAGTGCATTAACGACATCTATACTAGAAACAGATTCACAATCAGAGGGATATCTCATGGCATCAAATAAATTAAACCGGATAACCTCCCCATCGAATTACATGGTCAACACCCCACTGTGAACATCAATTTTAGTTCTAGATGTTTTCAGAAAAGGTCTTCCTAATAAGATAGGTGCTGCACTAGGGGATTCATCATTTGGCATATCTAAAACATAAAAATCAGCAGGAAATACCAGCTCATTCACTTGCACTAAAACATCCTCAACTACTCCTACAGGGTATGTATTAGAACGGTCAGCAAGCTGAATAATCACTCGAGTGTCTTTCAAAGGTCCTAAGTTCAGAGCTTTATAGATATATAAAGGCATGACATTAATAGAAGCTCCTAAATCTAGCATGCATTTATCGTATCTCGTGTTACCTATTTTACATGGTATAGTAAAAATACCTGGATCCTTGCACTTTGGAGGAACTTTCCTCTGTAAAACAGCAGACACATTCTCACTTACACTGACTTTTTCATCTCCACTCAATCTCCTCTTGTTAGTGCATAACTCCTTCAAAAACTTTGCATACCGCGGCACTTGTCTTATAGCTTCCAGTAAAGGTATGTTTACCTCAACCTTGCGAAAAATGTCCAGGGTCTCTTTCTCCTTTTCTTGCTCTCTCTTCTTATTCTTAGATGATAACCTGCTAGGAAATGGAACAGAAGAATTAAACTGATCAGTATTAGGAGAAACAACATCTCTTACCTTAGTGGGCTGCTTATCTTGCTCTGGAACAATAGTCCTTTGTTCCTCTTGGTGTGCTGCCAGCTCTTCAGTCTTTTTCGTTGGAACCTCTAATTGCTTGCCACTTCTCAGGGAGATTGCACTCGCGTTCTCCTTTGGATTTCTCTTTGGTTGACTCGGAAGCTTATTAGAGTTCTGAGCTTGGAGCTTTCCCACTGTGTTAGCTAACTGAGAAACTTGGTTCTCCAAGTTCTTTAGACCACTTCTTGTCTCTTGCTGGAAATGCAAAGTGTTGTCAGCCATTGCCTTCACAATATCTTCTAGAGACATGCTACCCGATTGTGGCTGGGAAACTTGCTGATTTTGAGGTCGCGGCTGATATTGTGGTTGCTGATGAAAACCAGGTGGAGGATTAGAAGCTTGCTGTTGCTGGAAAGCTGGTGGTCAGAGGTTAGAGTTTCCTTCCTGCTGCTGAGCATTACCATATCTCAGGTTTGGATGATCTCTCCACCCCGGATTATAAGTCTGAGAGAATGGATCATAACGTCTTTGCTGCCCCTGACCACCACCAATCGAATTCACTTCTTCTTCTTGCAGAGTAGGACACATATCAGTTGGGTGTCCTACCATTGAACAAAGGCCACATACTTTTTCTTTCCCTTTTTCGATCATTACTCGCTCCACTAAGGACGTGAGTTTAGCTACTTGTTGCTCGAGGTTAGAACTCACCACTTCATTAACTTGACGTACAGAGGTGGACTTGATATTTCGACCTCCTCGATACTGAGAGTTTGCAGCCATGTTTGCAATCAGTTTCTTTGCCTCTGCGGGTGTTTTGTCAACCAGTGCTCCACCACTTGCTGCATCAACTAGATTCCTGTCTGTCTTTCTGAGTCCTTCGTAAAAGTACTGTATTAATAATTGCTCACTGATTTGATGGTTTGGACAACTATCACATAGTTTCTTGAAACGCTCCCAGTACTCATGAAGTGTCTCTGCATCGTCTTGTCGAATTACCACATTCTTATTCTCACAACCATAATCCAATGTATACTATATCTCCGTACCCACGACAACTCTAGCCTGACATACTAAGAATAAGAACAAAAGTAGCAACTATGGAATTCATAATTAACAAAGCAAAAAGTAATTGAAAATGAAAACTTGATAAACTAAGTAATCAAATTCTAATACCAACCACAAAAATGGTGAAAAGTAAGAAGCAAAACGTGACTTTTTCACTTCAATTCTTAAAACAAAATTATAGTATTACCAAATTAAGTAACTAACAATCAACTTAGCTAATACCACCAAGAGAATAAGCTCGCCGCTGTCGCTGCTCTCTTTTTCCCAAGTTGTCAAGTATCAGCCCCCTCTATCATGCAATTCGGTTTTCTCCTCCGTAATTCGCTGCCCAGAGTAATCCCCAAATTAATCTCCAGAATCCCCAAAAATACGGGACTCTATTGCTTTTCTTGTTTTGTTGCAGCCGATCTCCAGCTAATCCGAATCTCCCCCTCCAATTATTATCCAATTTCATCTTTATCTCTTCTTGCTTGACAATTTGATTTCCCGCAAAAATCGCTCAAGATTTATTTGTGCCTTACCCGCAATAAACAGTGAGAGGAGTTCTCTTGTTCTTCTTTTTTTTTTTCTTTTGTTTTGACTGAGTAGCCAGTTGGTGTACTTCATGAGTTCATGGTCCACTTGGCTATTTGCTATGAAACATTATTGGGTTGACACACATGTGAGTTGATTGGGCTTGTGAGCTTTGCTTCGTTTAATCCGGGCGATAATAAAATATCACTTTGCTATTGTAATCTTCCTTCCTACAACCAAATAAATAAAATAGTAGTAAATTGTGTCTTGGGAAGAAAATCACTTAGTATATCATTAAACCATTAAATATCAATATAAAATCGAGAGTTTAATAAAATTAAATAATATACTTTTATGACTCCATCAACAAGTGATCGCGATATTTTAGAATTATATGTTACATTAACATTCAACCAATTTAGCCTAATATTAGTTTTGAGAAAATTGAATCTTTGTTTGTATGCTTTTGAGATCGCAAGAAATACTTTTCACAATAATAATTGAGTAGAGGCCAACACGGGCGAATGTGACTCCATGACTCACTTCGTACCATCATTCCCAATCCTGCTTTCGTGGTTCCGAACCATATGGATTTAGTAATCTCATAGATTATGAATGTGATGTAACCTTCACGGGTCAATTGTTGTTGCCTATCGTTGTCCCTTAATCGTGGTTACCTTAAATGATCCGTGAACGGTTTACAATTTCCTTAAAAACTTGTTGGCGGCTCCCTACTTTGCTTTGTCCCTAATCGTATGTCAAATCCCGATTCCTGTGATTGCCAAGCATATTCACAACATGCTTAACGTAAGCGCGCTTCGAATGACGCCTACAATTTGGTGATTCCACTAGGAAGGATTCTTGTTACTTATCGATTTGAGTGATCGGTAGTTAATTGAGATGAGTGGATGAGACTTGAAATATTCTTGAATCGTATTCATGTGATTAATTTGGCATTTATGCATATGCATTGACGTTTGAATGTCGTATTTAGGTTCGTCTCGTAGGAAAAATTTAATAACCAGATTGCGATCGAAAAAATAAAAGCACTGCTAAATTTTTATTTCTTCCGCGCAACGGCATAATTGTCGTGACACGACACAGAGTACCGCGAAACAGCGCTCTGTACCGTGGCACGGCAGTCTTAAAAATCAACATGGTTCCGTTTTTTTCTCGTTGTTAGCTTCCTTCCATTTTTCTAAAAAACCGTATCTTTTCTACATACGTTTTAGCCCTAGGGGATTTAAGCTCTATCAACTCGAAAACGTTCATGACAATAAGGGTTCATCCGAGTTATTAAATCTACTTAAACCATGGAGTCGAGTTCAATTTAATCACGAACTTGCGGAGCCGCCCGTTGGCATACACCCTCAAGGGAGGCTGCCTTGCTAACACGTCCAAACTCTTAACCATGGTACCCTTTTGACACCATAAAGCTTGACCATAGTGGAACGTAGAACTTGACCTTAGGTTGCGAACTTTTCATTGCATCATCTTGACTAAGTGTTACTTGGCTTTATTGTTGTGTTGCTAACCCCAAGTGTGTTTGTTCATCTTGTTATTTTGACTAACGTATGAACGAGGGTTTATATTCCACATAGTATCTAGTACAGTCATAAAATTGAATAAAATATGGAAAATAGCACAAAACAGAACCTGGAACTGTTTACCGTGTCACTGTAGAATTGTCGTGTCGCTGCAAACACTGCCATAACACAGCAGATTGTACTGCACCACGGTACAGTTTACCGTGCCACGACAGGTTGTACCGTGGCGCGGTACCCAGGTTGTGTCACAGTTAGTCAATTTTGTTCCTTCGTGGTTTGTGTGTCTCTTCTAGCGTCGAGTCTAGCTGTACGGTTATAACACGCGTCCCATAACCTCACTTAATTACTCACGAGTCGAGTCGAGTTCAGACACTTGTTTTTTTATTCAAGTCATGCACCATGTAATTCATGACCATACATTAGGATGGTCTTTTGTCGTTTTTCCATTTTTTTTAGGAGTAAGTCGGATGGTATCCTCCCATACTTGCTTTTTTCTAAAAAAAAAAAAAAATTTATTTGAAAAACTTTCTTTATTTCCTTTTTTCATTCTTACTTTCTGGATGGGTCAAGGTTAAGTCAAGTCATTAAAGGTGCGTTTGTTTCAATATCGCTGCGCTTGGTCGAGAAGCAGGGGTAGATTGGTACAATTCGAATCACTACCACAACAACCTCTTATACCTAAGAGGCGTGCAAGGAAACCACCATTGTCTCCACGAAGTTCATCCCCATCACCATCTCCAGTTTACTTTCAATTCATTCCAATGGCTACTAAGGAAAACATTGAGGGCATTCACAAGTCCATCGAGGCACTTTCTGCCATGATGAAAACTTTCACTACCCAAGTCAATACCATGGAACAAACCAAGGTCACTGTTGCCGCAATTGATAAAATCAAGGAGCAAGTGAGAAAGATTTCCGAGGACTTCACCTATGTGGAACAACCTGCCACTTCTTTGGCTATGACCGACAAGCTCCCTGAAAAATTCTCCACTTCTGACATAACTAATTTCAAACCTACTGATAATCCAATATTTCATTTAAAGGCCTTCTCTGGGATATAGCAATCTTCCCTACGGTGTTGCCTTTCTCCTTAGAGCATGCTTGCTAACAATGGTTTTATTCTCTAGATGCCAAGCACACTGCAACTTGGCAAGATTTCACTGAAAGTTTTATGAATCGTTACAAGTGTAACATTCAAACTAGAACTTCTGAACGTGAACTCTCCATTCTCAAACAGAAAGAGAATGAAGGCTTCACCGCTTATCTGAACAGGTTGAGGGAAACAGCTGCACTCTTGGTGGATCCTCCTAAAGAAAAGGGGATGATTTGTCTCTTTATCCAACATCTGACTCACAAGTACAGTCAACATCTCAAAAACCTGCCATTGAACACTTTTGAAGCTGCGTACGATATTGGCATCAATATTGAGGATGAGCTAATAAAGATTGCTGGTAATAACAACAATAATTACACTTGGAAAAACAAGAAGAACGACCTTCCTTTTTCTTCGTCTTCTAAGCCCAAAAATAATACCTATAATGTAAGCCAGGTAGATCTCAATGAAGTTTTAACTCTCGATGCTCCATTGCCTAAGAAAAGGAGAACTTATACTCCTTTAGGAATGACGTATGGCGTTGCTTTTGATCGCCTCTACAGTTCAAGGCTTGATCACACCTATTAGGCCATTTCTAGAGCCAAAACCTCAAGAAAAGAGCGCCAAGTGGAATCCTAATGCCCACTGCAAGTTCCATTAAGAAAGGGGTCACACTACTAAGTAGTGTTGGAATCTGAAAGATGATATTCAAGATTTAGTTGATGCCAAAAAACTTTATTTCTCTCCAGGCGACAAGAAGTAATGAAGACAAGGCGCACGACGAGCCTTTAGTACAAGATTTCATGATATTTTCTTTTTATCATTCATTTCCTTTTCCCCCATTCATGTCTAGCATAGGTTATCCCATTTTTGAGTTTCTATGTGTTTTTGTATGTTTCGTTCACCTCTTTCCATTAGTAAAATCAGCATAATTTCCTTTACATCTCGATCATGTCGGTTTCCAAAAAAAAAAAAAAAAAAGAAAGAAAGAAAAAGAAGAAAAAAAAATACTCAATTGCCGAACCAAACACAAGGTACACCAATGATTTGAGGCACCTTTTGTAACCCATTATTCCTTTTTTATCATTCAA